GAGACAGGCGGGAGAGGATGAGGAACTCGGGAAAAGAAAAGGAAGGACGAAATATAAACATTCGGGCATAAAAATAGGATGCGGGCTATAAACGCATAATGAAATATTGCCTCGTACTCTCTATCCAACGGTCTGCTATGACTCTAGCGCTCTCGGTTGGGGTGAGGATCGATGAAGGAAGCGAGAAAGGAACCGCATCCGGAAGTGGCCCGTCGACACCTGCGTCCGATGGCCTACGCGGTTGAGGTTGAGCCTTGACCGGAGGTTCGAACTGGGATGTTCGGTTGGGCCGCACACAAACGGCATGGAGCGAGCAGGAGATGTTTCGATGCCTTGCGTGACGAATCTGTCCGCATTCCGTCACCGGCGACGGAGGCTGCTTTGCAATTGACAGTCGGGTCGAAGGTCGAGAGTTGGGGAATCTTGGGGTGGAAATGTGCTGCACGGGCGACATGTGACGGAAATGAGGAGCGAGGCGAGTGTTGGTGGCCTTGGGTCGACTCAGAGTTGGTCGTCTGTTTCTTTCGTTCTTCTCGGGGCCGTTCTATGGAGCTCATTTCCTTCGGTAGAAACAAAAGATTTCCGCTAACAGCCCTGAACGTGATTCAGGACCGAAGAAGGAAAGTATTCCACGGTGGTCATAACTTGGTTCATTCAGCGTGCGCAGAATCGAATCTATCGAGTGATTGAGAGAGAGCCACGAATGGTCTTGCTTGCTCTACTCTGCTCTGCTCGATGTGATGCATGCGCAGCATTGCAGCTGTGGATATGATACAAAATCTACCACTTCTTGGTCAATTAGCTCAAACAAAAGATGGAGAAAACCACTCGGCTCTTTCACGCAAAGAATGGGATGAGATGGCAGTGGACTGCATGCGAGTCAAAACGACTAACCTGGTCTGAAGAGGCGAAGACTCGGGCCAAGAAATCGAGTCATGCCGAAAGGTTGCGAATATAGAAAAAACATTCGAAATGAATAGAATAAAAGACTAAAATCTCCAAATTCAAATCTGGAAATGAACTCATGCCAAAAGGTGTGTGTGGTTGGAATCAGATATTGCTATCAGACCCCTTATACCCAAAGCGTGAGTCTCTCTTATGGAAGCATCCCGAACACACCTTCTTTGCAAACTTCAGTGTAGGCGAAACTAATATCACATGATTGACTTTGCAAATGACATTTTTCCGGATGTTACTGCAAGTTTTCGTCTTTTTCATGAGAGCACCTGAAAATAGTCTAAGGCTTCCGATTAAGAATAAAATGCAGAGATGGTCGTGAAACATGGCAAGTGAGAACGTCGGAGGCTATATTTTGGGTCTTGTGTTCAAATCTGCTCAATCGGAAACACGGGAGTTGATGAAATTGGAAGCAGGAACAGAGTTCACAGAAATGGACTCGTCTGCGACCCAGGCTAGTAGATTTAACCTTCTCGTGACTATGAAAAGTCTAGTGACCTTCCACGTATGCAAAATCCGAAATCTATGCTGCGCTTAAACAAGTGAAAACCATGAGTTCGGTGGTGACCATTCAATCATTTTCAAGATTTTTGAAAGGGCATCGCGAGCCACTTTCTCGAGTTGGAACGACGGCAATCATTTAGCTTTGGCCCAAAGGATTGACGTTAGTACGGATCGGAGTTGTTTACGAGTTCTGAAGTCTTCAATAATATCGAGGGATGTACATTGTCTCGAAGGTGGGAAGGTACCTCTCAAAGCCCAACATTTTATCGTCAAGCAGAAGTAGAAAGTTCACGAGTAAGACATCCACGGGGCAAATGATTCTCGAACCAAATGTGTTCGGTTCCCAGTTCGGTGAGCCATCCTCCTTTCATCGAAGTAACATCATGTGCTGAGCTCATTCGACGGGCTGCCGAAGAAAGCTCATTAGACAAACGCCAATCATTATTCTCAGAGGAGGAACACAAATCCGTTCCTTCCTTATAAGGACGAGTTGAGGAGGAGTTGAGAACCCCATGACGCTACGTGGAAGAGACTGGTAAGCGATGAATCTCTCGAGATTGAGAAAAGGGTGGTGGTGTGGGGACTTGAGCTTGCTTGTTTCCACAGGGATAGATAGATAGACAAATAGACAGAACGCCATTCCCATGTACGTAGGATAAATCCAAAACTCTTCCAGGTTGTGAGAGTAGGGCAGAGAGCGTGAAAGCGAGTGTTGCCATTTAGATTTGCCGAGCTGTACATCGAGCAAAATTGGTAAGCTTCATACCAGCCCATCTGCAAACTGGTGGAATGTGTCTGATAATTGCTGGCTTGCCTTATATGAACTGGGTCATATATGACGCACGGGACACGAGACGAGAGAATCATTCACCTCCTGGAGCTTACTGTCCGGCTTCTCGTATGCTGACGGGCTGCACCTAAAAGTCACGAATGATGTTCAAGCTTTGCTTTACACGACTTATGCATGATAAGCACAAAAAGTGGCTTTTCAAAGTCGAGCTCTATACTTCGACAACCTCTAAAAGGGTGACTCGAAAACACTTGAAGTGTTATTCTTCAGGGCTTTGCTTTCCAACCAGGTGCTGCTTTGGCATGGAGGTAAACATTTGGTACATCCAAAACTAAGTTCCTTGAAAATAAAAGGTCAGATCGCAGAGAAATAATAACATGCCTACAAGCCGGTAATGTATACTGAGTTATGCATACGGTATACATGATTCCATTCCTTCAGGTATACAGTATACCTGAAGGAATGGAGGTCACATGTTCTAATTATGTTCCACTGATTGTTCTAATTATGGCGAATCAAAGCTGTTTCATATATAAATTTCTCGCGTTCAGGAAGGCATGTGTATTTTTTGGGCGTACGCACACCTCGACCATACAAGAGAATTGCGCAGTGAACATGTAAGGAATCTAAGATGCCTTCAAGCAATTGAGGTAAAGAGAACTCATGGAGAAGAGGGCGAAGTTCATGCAATGAGTGAAAGCATGTCACTGCTGTGCTGGCTGGCCTTTCACAAAGTACATGACTCTTGAAACAAAACATATGAGTCAGACGAGTTGCCATAGAACTGTGAGCACTGCTGGCTTCCCATAGCTCACCACATGACACCAAAGCACTTCTTTTCCCATGGGGCAAACGATGGACAGATTTGGAGGTAAGACGGAGGCTTTTGGAAAAAGCCGCCCTTTCATCATGAGGAAGAGGCCAAGTACATCTGCCATAAACGAGACCAAATCTCATCGCAAAGAAAAAGGTACCATGACTGAAATGGAAACATTGACGAGAAGTGAATGAGGCGGTAGTACAAACTCCGATGTGTAAAAGAGAGAGAGAGAGAGAGAGAGAGAGAGAGAGGAAGCTATGCATGCCACCTGGTATGATCCATGTCATTCTCAACAGGTAGGAATCGAATTTTCAGATAAGAAACTATGACAAGCCAGCTTTTTGACTAAGCACCCTTACGTCCCCCCCACAAGGGGGACTAGAACCTGCAACTCTCAAACTCTCCGTGTTTGTACAAGCCTTTTGCCCAATAGCTCATTCCAGACCTGGTGCAGCATCATTCTACAACAAACAAAAAGCGACCATCACCAGGAGCCTATCATTACACAATTGCGCAGTCGGTCAACCACATGAGTGAGATGATCTGGACACAAGAGGCAGCTACGATGTTTAATCCCGGGAATAGAACCCCTCTACAGTTTGTGAATCTTCTAGGCACACGGAGAAAAAGAGACAAATATCCACGGAGGTGCTGGAGGCGACATTGGCCTGCGCGGCCCGGCCCAGGATGGGATGGGATGGGCTGGAGAGAAGTGGCAGATCATGGACAAAGATCCACGGAGGGAGGACAGTTGGGAATGGAACCAGCTACAGATGAACATTCCTGGGGGAGAGAGAAAAGGAGGAACTTGGATAAAAAGCGGACTGGAAATCGCATGGAAATTCAAAGAATTGTAGACAAAGGTTTAAGCGAGAGAAAGGAGACACATTTCTCGGTACAAAAAAAGCGATCTTCCAAAAGCGAGAAAGCAGAAGAAGGAGACGTAATAACGAAGAGCGATGATAGCCATGGCAACGTAAGAGTGGGAAACACTATCCGAATGCTTTGCTGCCAGAAAGTGACGCATTTCTTTATAACTTGTCTTTAAACCGAACCCATTACATGAAGGATCACAGTCTGCCCTGCCTACAAGTTCTAACACTCTGAATTATTTTGAAAGCTCTGCTCATATGTACACTGATCGCCAATGGTCACAGTACTTGATTGATAATTCCGGGTCATAACCACGGTGCATCATCTGTAGCCTTGAAGGCATGAAGTTAAAGGTTAACTTAAAAGTTGCTCATGAACCTGAACAACATCTGTTTTATCGAACTACGCACGCCGAGCTAATCTTCGACCATCATCGTATACTACGTATGAGTGGAGGTCACACACCAGTTCACTATTGCTCATAAAAGTTTCGTATAAATCCCGTCGTGTACAAGTCTTGTGTTATCAAGAGCGTTGTGTATGGAATTCATTTTTTTAAAGGTTATCATTTGCCTGCGTCAAAATCAAATGGTTCAGGTGACGTATAGCTGGTTCAGCTCGATGTGGCCTGGATTTATTCACTCGCGAGTTCAACATTTAGACATGGCAGACCGTATGTATGATGAGTCTGAAACAGACCAGGTAAAAGGGCGCCCTACCCAAGGGATTAGGGCAGACTGTGAAGGGAGAACCCGGACCGAAAGCACCGAGCGTACTTCGGATGGAGGTACAGCAGAAAATTTGGAATGGGTCACAAGGTGGAAACAAAGAATGCCGTGGTCGTACTCTGTGCTCGGTCCGGAGTCCTTACGGGTCATTGATGCGGACAGAGTCCTAGGCTCATAGAATTCCCGAACCGGAGGGACTAGTGAGAGAGAAGTCGTCCCGCAGGCCATCGTCCCTCAGAAGGACGGATCCAATCCCCGGCGACGGATCCCACCTATCCCCCACAGGTACAGCTCGCGCATCATAATAATCCTGCAGGACCGAGCCTCGCTAGGTCCGAACGAGAGGGTACAGGGCCAAAAGTATCGATCCGGGGGACGTCCCGTGGAGAGGACAGAAAGCAGCAAAATCACAAGAGAGCACAAAAGGAGAGACAGCCAGAGAGAAAAGGTCCACGACGCCGCAATGGTCCACAGGATCCGAGCCTTCAGTTCCCGTACCCGATGGACGACTCGGCACCACTCCCTGCCCGTGCCTCCCCCCACCCCACGCCACCCCACCCCACCCCGTACCGAAACGGGACGACTCCCTCCCTCCCTCCCTCCCTCCCTCCCTTAATGACGGACGGACGGCAGGCGTGAGCGACGCATACCGGCGGGAGAGCAAAGAGACGGCGGCCGGGAAGGTGCCGGCCCGGCCGCCTGCCTCATCCGGCCCTTGGCGGCACGAAACGCGGGCGGAATCGCGAGGGCTGGGCAGGGCTGGCTGGCGCTGCCTCTGCCCGGCCCGTGGCCTTGTCCGATCCCCGGCAGGGAGGGCAGCGGCGTCGCGGAGCAGGGCCGCGGGCGGGGCAGGGCAGGCGGAGGAAGAGGAGGTGCGCTCTTGCCGGTGATCCTTGGTCGTTGGGAGTAGGGGAGGGGCGGAGACAGGTTCGTCGTAGTGGCTGCTGCCGGTGGCGTCGCCAGGAGATTCGGGGACCTGGTGGATGCCCGCGGCCGGGCCTGCAAAAGAGGGCTGCAGACGAAGATGGCGGAACGCAGCCCTAAGTTTGGGACGGAGTAGATCCGGGCTGGAAAGCGGAGGAGGAGGAGGAGGAGCAGCAGCAGAAGCGGGGGGGGCGCCAATTATAAATGGGCGGAAAAGCGGGCGGCATGCGGGCTGCTGGGATAGGCCGCAGAGGAGCAGCAGCAGCAGCCGAGTGCGTCCTCCGTCGGCCACCTCGATCCGCTGTCCGCCCGCGGCCTCGCGCGGTAGCCACTGCCAGAGGATCTCGGCTCCGATTTGCCTCACTGTGCCCGCCCGCCCGCCCGCCTGCCTGCCCACCGGAGCGCCCGGTCGCTGCCTCTGCCAGCCCCCCGCCGAGCGTGGGAATTCGAGGCGCGCGAGCGAGCGAGAGTGTGCGATTTGGGTCGCGAGTTGCCGAATTCCCCCGCTCTCTCTCTCTCTCTCGCTGCTCCTCCGCTCCTCCGCTCCTCCGCTCGTCCCGGACCCGGCCGTGCTCACGGGGCGGGCCTGCTTCGTTCGGTTGCGCTGCGAGTCGAGAGGCGAGGCGAGGCGAGACGAGACGAAAGGAGCGCACGGAGGAGAGTGTGGTTGCGGAGGTAGATGTAGGAGTGAGTGAGCAAGAAGGCAGGAAGGAAGGGAGGGAGGAAGAGAGAGGGAGGGAGGGAGAGAGGCAGGAGGGCAGGGCAGGGCAGGGCAGGCAGCTGCGCGGATTCTCGACAAGTATGATTGGTGACTCGCGGACCCTTTGATCTGTTGTTAGGCTGGAGGACGCGATGCATGAATGAAGGCATTGTCGCCTTAGATGGTCAGCTCTCTCGTGAGCGCGATTGCCTTCGATTCCGATCTGCGTCTCCGCTCTTGTGTAGCGCGCGATGGTCAAATTTCGCCGTATGTTGTCGCGTCGACCTTCGTTCGTTCTAGTCCTTTGCCGCTGTCCTTAGATCTTCTTCTTCTTCGTCTTCTTTTTCGTCTTCTTCCTCCTCTTCTTCTTTCTTCTTTCGTGTTGTGATTTTTGTCGGCGACTGAGTGCATGTGCGTGTGTCGTCGCGGGAGAGCTCGGTGATTCACATTGTCATGCTGGACCGACCTTGTTCTGTTTCTCTTTCGTGACAGAGCGGGAGCCATTTCTTCGAGCGGACCCTCGTCGCGTGCACCGGTTTCAATGTCATGAGGATTGCACAGCGTAGGCGGATCGTTTGCGCTATGAGCGGAACAGGATCAGTGTCGAATTCGGCCTGTTGCAAATATGCTGGAGGCAGGTGATGGAGGCAGGAGTGGAAAGTGGAGGAACTTGTTGTCGCAAGTAGGTACGTGCGCATGGTGAGGACTTCTGGCAGTTGGCAGAGTTTCGCAAAATTGGAGCTGATGTTGGGCTCGCCGGTGCTCCTGCTCTGGGGGATACTATGGTGCATGATCTGCGGGGGGCATTTGAGCCTTGCCTTTGTAGAAGGTCAGGACAGCAGAATAGAGTCTCTGACGTCTCTCAAGAGACTACGGGATGGGATATGTGATCATGGCATTCAAAAAACAAGGCCACACACGGTCTCTATTCTCGAGTTTGGTGCAGTCGGCGATGGCAAGACTCTCAACACTCACGCATTTGAGAACGCAATTTTTTACCTCCGTTCATTTGCCGACAAGGGAGGGGCTCAGCTGTACGTGCCGCCTGGTGAATGGCTCACCGGAAGCTTCAGTCTTACAAGCCACCTGACCCTGTTCATTGATCAAGGAGGAGTCATTCTTGGAAGTCAGGTACGCCCAATTGTTACCAGTCAGAACACGAACCACTGCTCCTTCCAATCGATTTTTTCTGAATCAGCAGAATTGATTGCGGTGAGAAGCATGAAAATGAGTTGCAACGAGCCACTACCCCTATGACCCTGAAGGCAATCCAAGTGATGCTCTGAAATTGGCAGGGCCGTGAGCTAGCCTTCCGGACACCAGAAACTGATAGATTCGATTGTTTCAAGTCTTCCTGAGACCCGCCGAAACTCCCCAGACCATTTCGAGCATAGCCTGCTATCATAAGTCGGATATGACCCAGACTGGATTCGAATGCTCTTGGAATTCCGTCGTGCTCTTTACAGGACTGACGTCGCCGTAGTGTCCTTTAATCTTTTCGGAGGGAATTGTGCAATCCCAGTAACTTATCAACTCGGAGAAGCTGAAAACTATGTTTTTCGGACTCAACTTATTAGAATTGGGCAGTCACGGTTGGTCCTTGTGCTTTATGGGTTGGCCGCGGTTTCCCACAAGCTTTACCGACAAAAATTTGGCAGGAAATTTTCTCCTTTCCGTGGACAAGTAGCTCCTCCATTTCCTGTCTCTCCGACCTTTTATTCCTGTACATATACACGTACATCGAAGGAATTTTAACCTAAACCTCTCCAGAGAGCGGGGTGTAGACCTTGCTTCATTTTGTAATTTTTGTCTTATTTGAAGTGACGCAGCTGCGCTGCTTGCGTCACTGAACTATGTGTGTCAGTGTCCCGATTCTCTACATTCCTAGGAATGTAGATGGATGTACATCTGCTAGTGGCTGAGTTCCTGCCACCAGTTCCGCGGGCGAAGTTTTGACGTTTTGCTACTCATCAGCTCATGTATATGGCCTAGCGCAGTACATTGATTCTCACAGATGGAAATCACGAGTCTTGCGAGATACGAGATATTGAAATTGAACTTGTCAATGAAACAGCGAATTAACTAGAAAGCTTCATTCTTTGAGAAAAATTGACCAAATTCTTGACAATTAATTTCTGGGCACAGAAGCTTCTACCCCCGTCAATCTAGTGTCATTGTGTTTCTTACAGTGGTGAAGACTGACGGAAATTCTTTGTTTTTGACAACATACCGTCCATTGACCGATCGGCTTAAGTAGGAGCTTGAGGATCCAGATAATATTGTCCATGTAGTAGGAATTGATGGGTGACTTTGTATCTATTGCTGGGGCCCAGATGGTGTGCGGTTCAAAACCAGAGTTTCGGAGTGTGTTGAGCCGTGTTGATTAACTCTACTTGCAGGACATCACAAAGTGGCCTGTTATTGATTCTCTTCCCTCTTATGGACGGGGACGGGAGCTTCCTGGAGATCGGCACATGGCTTTGATCTACGGAGAGAATCTGACAGACGTGGTTATCACAGGTGAACTACAGATTTCATACATACTGTCTTGGCTGGAACGCACGTCAAGTTGACTTTCTTGAACTGGCGTTCATCTAAAATGGTCTTTCGAAATTATTATATACTTCATTGGGTTTGTTTCATCTCGTGGTTCTATTTCTAGCTAGTGTGCTGTATACTTGGTGGAGTTAGCCATCTTTTAAAGTGGGCCGATCCACTGCTTTCACAGTGTATATATTTTCTTCCAAGTCGATCATTGTCCTGGGAAGGTTGCTGCAACGACGGCCCATGTAACGAGATGTTTGTGAATGAGTTCTTGTTGTCGAGGCATTCTGGATTATTTAGAATCCTTCACGCGTTGACAGGACTTCACTGAGATAAATAGCGTTCATGAAACGAGATACATGGGGATCAATGGATCGTTTGGTCCTTAATGTTCATGCTTGTGATGCTCACTTTTTCAGGTGAGAATGGAACTGTTGATGGTCAAGGATCAGTGTGGTGGGATCTGCATCGGAATGGGTCGTTGGATAAGACCAGGCCACATTTGGTTGAGTTTGTAAACTCGAAGGGTATCTTGTTTTCGAACGTCACATTTCAGAATTCGCCTTTCTGGAATTTGCACCCGGTGTATTGCAGGTGAGAGTTTTCAGATGTACTGTTGTGATGATTCGATTTACAGAATTGCTCCTCAATATGTGCCGGTGGATACAGTTGTATTTGAATAGTTACAATAGACTTCTGTTTTGTGGTCTGGAGCTAAGAAAGTTGAATCATTAGTTCATAGATTTTAAGTGCACTCATTAATGCATTGTCTGTGTTGTCTGCAGCAACTTGGTCTTCAAGGACCTGACCATCTTAGCTCCTCATAACTCACCGAACACTGACGGCATTGATCCAGGTAAGGCTGATTAGGACTAAGTTACCTTTCATAGCTTCTCATCTCAAATGTGCTGCAAAGTTGCATGCTATTTGCAGCTGAGACTTAACTCGACTGAGTCAACTTGGTTAAGAATCTGGGCTGGAGATTTCCATCCTTCGGTCAGGGTGCCCGCTTTTCTTTACCTGATATGGAAGTATACGCAGTCCACGTTGTGTGAACGCGTGAAGAGTGCATTGATTGTCTTTACTCCTAACTGCAAAATTTTCTCGAAATTGAAGATGGTGACCTGATTTTGAATACACTGCAGCACATGAGAAACTCATGTGGTTACGTGGCATATGAAATAGCAAGATCCATGTGTAATTATATATTGAATCGTGCGCAAGTTGAATTGATATTTGTGGCCAAACGGTCTGCTTCCACATGAAGACTGTTTGAAAATCACAGCTGATGTATGTGTGGGTGTTTTAATGCAGATTCCTGCACCAATGTTTGTATCAAGGATTGCTTCATGAGCGTCGGTGATGACGCTATTGCAATCAAAAGTGGTTGGGACGAATACGGCATCTCTTACGGGAAACCAAGTGCCAATATCGTTATTCGAAATGTGTATGCCATCACGCCTACAAGCGCAGGAATCGCTATTGGAAGTGAGATGTCCGGTGGGGTGCAGAATGTGAGTGTGCAAAATATGGTCATAAAGAATGCAAGAACTGGTTTTCGCCTAAAGACTGCTGCGGGCAGAGGAGGTTATGTGAAAAACATACACTTGAGCCACATCGTAATGCAAAATGTTTCAACGGCTTTCGCATTTACTGGTGCATACGGAGACCATCCAGATGATAAATATGATCCTGAAGCTTATCCAGTCGTCGACAACATAATTATCACGAATGTAGTCGGTGATCTCATCCACGAGGCAGGCTCTTTGTTTGGCATCAAGGAGGCTCCGTTTCGCAACATTTGCCTTTCTCAGATTACCCTCGATGTCTGCGGTCCGTTCAACTGGAACTGCACGAACGTGGAAGGCGTTTACAAGGATGTCTATCCCCAGCCTTGTTCTCAGTTTCTGAATGACAGCAGACAAGTCGACATCGTATGTTCTTCAGTGCAATCAAGTTATGGTGGGTCTTTGCAACACTTGAGCTGAAGAGAAGAGGATGTAGTGTTCCAACTAGTTTATCCCTCCTGAATTATTTTGGCTTACGCTTACCATTGTTGACAATTTTTTCTTGACCCATTTGTGAGAGAGTGAGGTGAATTTTTGTAGTTAGGCTGAGCATTCTTGTGCAATAATTGTCTATAGTCCTCCAGAAAGGTGTTAGTTGATTTGATTGTGATCACCCTCTAGTCTACATTCATCATTTCCTGGTCTACAAGACTGGGAGCTGCCTTCTTGAAGGTGTCCATGTAAAGGGAATTCGAGCTGGCAATGATGGGTTTCTTGCCTTTTTTTCACTTACACGCCGAGTGAAATAGATGCGTCATCCTGTCTTGCTGTTCTAGGCTCTTTGAGTTGTACTTGGCAGAAGCTTTGCAAGGTTTGTCTAGGGCAAGCGCTTGCTCGAAGTAATAGCTTTATCATTTGAAGCTTTGGCATATAGATCTGCAACGAAAGCGAAGGGGCTTTTGTTTGTATTATGATTTCGTCTCTTGAATCCTTGTATTACTCAAGTTCTTCATAAGGCTCTCTAGGTCAACGGTGAGTAGGACTTGCGATGAAGCGTTGACACTGGTCGTGCGATGAAGCTTTGTTCTTGGCTTGCATTTGTCTGGTATGGATTTTGTTTCTTTCTGTCGTAGTTTCGAACCTTCTTATTCTTAAAATGCCAACTTTCATATATCAAAAAATAAGTGCCGTGTCTGTTTTTTGTGTTTTCTCTCATGATTCACTTCCTGATGTCTTATACACCCTTTTGGAAAGCCCGAGATTTGGCGAGGCTGTTCTAGTAAGGCTGGTATATGTTCTTGAAATTTCTCATTTGTTTTTCTTTGAGACGGGTATCTACAGTGGGGTATATGCACAAAGGAACTTATCTGAATGTCGTCAATATGTCAACAGCCCCAAGGCCGCCATGGTTTTTACCCCGAGTAGGGAAATGCTGTCTTTCACCTCCTCATTCATTATTTGCAATCCTCTGTGAGTCCCTTGGGACAGCTATCTCCTCTAGCCCGAAACACTTCCAGTGTTAAACAATATTCCCTAAGAGAAAGAGTACATCAAATGTTTTTCATATGATAGCACGTGAGAAGGGTTGGTCCACCTGTTGCTCTATGTTTGCCAAGCAGTTGAAGGTCAGGCCGCCATTTGGCTGAGAATTGGGAGGAATGCTGAAGGTCTTTTTTATTAACGGTCAGCTAGGAGAGTTTATTAGAAACTGGACGTAAAGGTCCAAGGAATTTCCTTGAAGTGTACTTCTAAGTGGCGGCACTGCCGGCGTCTTTTGTGAGGTCGCCTAAACAGTTCTTCACAAGGGAGAGAGTAGTACTCAGGATATTGCCGACATCTTCTGTCACCCTATTGTAGAAATCTAAGCAGACTAGTGAAACCGCACGTTATGGGTATCATTGCCGCTTGAGAAACTGTATACTACCACCATAGGTCATCAGATACAATTGGTACCCACAACAGTATAATAACTACCAGATCTCGAAATACATCAGTTGACAGAAGCTGAAGACTGTGTGGGCCGACGGTAAAGAGTTGTAGCTGTAGAATTTGAATTTGTGAATGAGTGAAGATCACTTAGAAACGATGACAACCACTGGCTGGTGTGAGGCACAGAACCCATCCAAACACGCTACCTGAAAGAATCTTCATGCTTTTGAGAAATCTCTGAAAGCAAGGTCTCCTACCCGCCGTGCAAAGCCTTCCGACGTTTGACAGGTGTGGATTTTTTACCCCGTTGATGAAGAATTTCTGTTGGAAGAAATTCGGAATCTCTACTCGCCGTGTTGGTTCGGACGAGTGGCCATCTTTAGGAAGTAAAGCAAGCCAAGCAAGCCACTTGGCGTGCAACACACGCCGAGGTATGCGAGCATCTAGAGTATCTAGCATTTTAGTGGTCTACTACAAATCCGTCTCACAATCTCAGGTACTGTATATACCAACATTCAACCCCATAACTACCAGGATGAGCATGTCGCAATACATTCACATCCAGCAGAATAATTAAGCTTTGGTCCTTGGGAGTAAAACTTATGAGTCTAATGTTGGACCGAATGTGTACACATGATTTTCTTTGTAATTACACCACTAACCTCATGTACATTTGTCACTTGTTATACTTTGGTTTATTGTCTTCAGGAGGTGATTAACACATAATCTCACTACAGAGTCCTTTAGTAATGTCTTGAATATAATTCGCATACATAATATCTGGATTCTGTCACATTTCCACTTCACTCGCTCAAAGCACTTAGACACGAGGGAAGATATCATCACCACCTACCTAGGCTTTACTACTCCATGCTGTTGTACTGAATACTAACAACAATAATACTTTATACAGCTCACAGTCAGGAGAGACTGGAGTGTGAAAGTCTTGCAATTGTGCTTCGAAGTATATAAGGCTGAAAGAGCAAAGTTTCTTTGGTTGTAATAATGAGTGGAGGAAAAAACGTATCATACACTTCTTGAACTAGAAGTGGAATCGCGACGTGTGAAGGAAGTATGAGATCGATCATGAAGTATAGCTGTACGTAGTATAGGTTGCTGCATACTTCCAATTGCGCCCTAGATGTAGACACCGGACCATCACCAACGGAATGACAGTTGCGAACTACAAATTTGAAGGGAAGTTTCAGTCAAGAACAAAACTAGAGTGGACCACGAATGTAGAATCATACTGGGTAGCCTAAATCATTGCATCGCACCGTCTTTGCATCTCTAACATGAAGCACATGAATTCTGGATCCTTTCCAGTTGGAGAAAAGTATCAAACAGAGTCTTCCCTTATTTTCATTTATAGACAAACCGGGTCTACTCTTGAAAGGTATGAATACTACCCACGAGTGTATTTATGAAGCCGATGCGGCCCTTCCTTTAGGAGGAAAAAGATGCCATTATGTTGGGAATGCCAAGATATTCAAGGTACTAGATTGCTACTAAATGCTACTGAAAATCAATGTACCCTTATAGACTTTTGCAGTTGTCCATATCCAAAGACGATCTTTCCGCTTTAGACCTTCTGTCGACAACGGTCCCTCCTCGTAAGAGCCATGATGAGAAGATATGACATTTGCACTACACACTTGCACCTTAACGGAGAAACTTCTCCCTCTCTCTATATGGTAGGTGGGGTTGCTTAGATTCTCTTATTAGAACATGCGCACGAAATCACTTTACTGACTGCATGAACAGCTGAAATGAAGACAGACGATGACTTGATATAAAGTATACATGGTGCTATCATGCGCTAACATTCAGTTCCCTTGTGGCCACCCTCAATGGGAACATTATTGACTCACTGGCCTTCTTCAGTACTCTAACGAGTATGTCTTCCATGTTCTCTCAGAGGAAAAAGAGGAAGACCAGTCGTGGGAAGGCAACGTGATGGCTCGCAGGATCAGGACGGAAGAAAGGTCCAGACGCTCTAAACCTCGTGTTTGGTGTACTCGTCCTGAAGGATAAGGCTTAACATTACCACGGCAACACTGTTTTAACTTTGATTGCATTCTTGCATCAAAGCTTGAAATTGTTTGTTTGCAAAGCTTTCAACATCAACAGAAATATGGAAAGTTACTTACCACCAAATTGTATAAATAAAAAAATAAATATTGCAAACCATAGGACGGAGGCTAAAAAGAAAGTCTGAATTGTACAACGAATCATTCAACTGCTAGATATGAATAGAACATCTAGCAGTTTGACATTAAGTTACCCTCAGCAATCTATGTCTAACTTATGGGAATATTAAACCAATTCCCTGGACTAGAACTTCTATTCGATATGTTCGGAAACTCTTATTCTCTTCCTTGATTGTCATTACCATTATTGAAGATAGTTTGACATCTTATACATCTACACATTAGATCCCGCCTATCATTCCTCACGATTACAAGCACATCCTAAGGTCACATAGCTGCGCTCGTCAGTTTAGCAGCACATGTCAGATCACTCGTAGGTAGGACTCGCGCTCACATGAAACTGTTGTTTGATGTCCGTCCCATGAGAACTCTTATGAAATCCAGTTTGATTCTTGCATAAGTGAGCGCCTTTGGGTTCGTAGTTGACACCGGCGATGTCCCCTTGCATGAACTCGAGTGTATTTGGTAGAAAATATATTCGCTCCCTTTCGTGGGCTTCTTCTTATCTACTGCACCAGATTTCTTTTCAAGTCCTACACTTGTATGTGCTGTCAATGAAGGCTTTCACAAGCACGCGCTCGGCAAGATCGGAGATTTGCTCTTAACCACTAGGAATCCACAGATCCTCAGCCAAGCGTCTTCTCTATCACAGATTTCAGCCTATCTCAGAGCGACTGGAGTATCAACACTCGACTCAAAACTTTGTTCATATTCACTCACCACAAAATAATTCCACGATTTTAAAAGTATGGTAGAATTGTTCTTATATTCAACATTTAGATCCATAACTTTTGCTGAAATATCAAACAGAAGTTAATGTGGAGACATTACTAGCCGAGCCTACTGCAGCCTTCCTCAATACAAATTGAGGAAAAAAAAAACAAATGTTGAAATATCCTGACCTTATGATCTACTCATTACCATGAAGATCGTCCAAGATGAACACCAAATTCTCAAGACTTATCGGCAGATATCATCGAATCCCAGAGTCGAGGAGCGTTCCCTCGCTTCCACTGAGATGATTTAGAATTTCATCCATGAATTGCGAGACTACTTAATGACGTTATGACCATTAAAGTTCTTACATCACATCAACATGTAAATAAAGCTTCATTCCAAAATGGTGAAGACAAAAATGAAAATCCAATAGTGTATCTAGCACACATTTCCATTATTCAGTATTACTTTTCTGCATGACTTGGATACGGTGCTTAATATCTTTGAATTTTTTGATATCATTTTTAGCTTACTATTCAGATATAATAGAACATATGTATTATATTTTATTTAGAAAGAAAAAACGTTATTAATTTAAAATTTGAAATATTTTTTTCTTTTGGTTATCACGTTTTTTTTCAAGGAAACAAAAAAACAAAATTTATTTTCATATCATAAAATATACATCATTATACCAATGAAAAAATCTTCATCAATACATCTATATATCGTTGAAGAAATTACTATAACTTGCTTTGTAAACGTTTTACGACATTCTGCCTTGAGGTATACTGTTAAATAAAAGGATCGGTACTTAGATATTGTTCGCTCAAAGATGTCCATAACTTCATCCACAGATGTGATAAAGGATAGGCAAATCCACAAATGTGACAAAGGATAGACAGAACCATTACGAGCACTAAATGGTCCCTTTGGTCCAATTAACCATTAGCACCTTTGAAAAAAATTGGGTATTGACTTTGTTGCAGCCATTTCACCATCAAATACATGAACATGTAGACTATATATACTGGTAGTCAAGGATTATTCTACGAAGATGGTAGATGTGATGGCTGTGAGGGAAAACCATGCGCCAAAGCTTACTAATTTTCTATTTTATCAATTATTTGCCTATATGAGTGTTTGTTGGAATTATTTTATGTTAAGAACAATTATTTACTCAATGACTTGATCAAAGATTTAACTCAATATTTCAAAATGAAACTTTGCAAGTCTTGGTATCAAGTACGTGGCATCCAATAGCATTGACTGTGCGAAGGTGGTGCCAACTTTTAACTTTGGGGAGGTGGTGCCAACTTCAGGGTTTACTAATAGCGTTTTGGAACATTGTATCTTACTCTTGTCAATAACAATTAAACTTAGCCTTCTTGTTGTCAATACTATTTCTAATTTTTTCACTTTGAGTGTTATTTTGAGTCAAGTGTAAGAAACCTTCTCACTATTGGTCTATTTTGATCTTCCTTTGAGATACTTTTTCAATCTTGTCTTTTGTTTTGTCATAGATATTCATAATAGTTTGAGAAGAGTTCATTACCAATCTCATACACAAAATTTTGAGATCTTCACTTCTTGTGATTGTCTTGAGAGTACACAACGCAAAAATTTGCTACTTCATTTATTTGTGAACCTTCAAACATATCAAATTCAATATGGATGAAGCTTCCAACATCCAAATGCACAACGTGTTGTTCATGCTGAAACAACTACAACAAGATAATGTCATAAAAAGCTCCAAGTTGCTCGCATTCTTATTCATATTCCAACTTCCAAAGCAAATCCATTATCACAAACGATAAAAGAACCTGAAGTTTACTAGATAAGCTTTGGTTTTACTTTGTCAAACTTATCTAGTAAGCTTACTACATAAGTTTGACAAAGATCGTACAAAACTTTAAGACTTCTTCAATCAAGTTCAACTTGTCTTTGGTCTTCAACCACACACATATTCAACAGAAAAAACACAAGTCATACTCATTGAATCACTATTCATCGGAACCATTTTATCTTGGTTTTTGTCACTATTTGAGAAGTATTATTCACTTCTATTATACCTTGATCAATTTTTGGAAGAAATCAGCAAGACATTTGAAGAGAGAAAGAACTCAAAGCTTTATATCAATAACGAAATTTCAAACATTGCAAAAAGAATCACGGCCAGTTTTAACATTTGTAACAAAAATTTGCAAATTTTTGCGTGTAATCTCGATTGAAACACTATGGCTCGCATTGTCATGTTTCAATGAGTACTTTGCAACAGAATTAAAACCTTGTTGATGAACTTATCAAACCAATTACTTTGTCAAAAGTCATTATTCAAGCAATCGATTACAACAATCGGCTGTTTGAACAACAACAAAAACGACGATTGTTCTTTAGATCATATCAAGCGGATTACACAGCTCAAGTTTTCCAAACATCTTCAAGCTCTTTAGGCTTAAATTACATGCAAAACAACTTTTTGGGAGTTAAAGTTTTGATAAAAGAAAAGAAAAAAATACTTAAAAAAAGCACTTATGTTTTTATTGTGAATGAAATGATCACATCTTAAACAATTACACTGTAAAACATCACAATGCAAAATGCCATCATAAAAAATGCATAAAACTTGATACAACTCAAGCTTATAAGAGCCAAGACATAACAAGATTAAGTAAGAAAATGATAACTTCTAGCCACAATAGAGATCATGTGATTAACAAATGTTGTCACATCATCAGATTTTATACTAGTCTCTGAAACTTCTTATTGTTTTAATATCTTGTTTAAAATATAATTTTACTTAAATAGCATAAAACTTAAAAAATTGTTAGATTTTGGAAACTCTCTTTGTTTTATTGAAAAAAAATTTATAAAACGTCATAATCCTCTTATAATCTCTAAGAAATACCTTGTGGTAGTAGATTTTATCAAAAATAATTCCTTGACTTCAAGAGATGTCATTCATAAAACAAAATCCTTATACATTATGCTAAAGAGTCATCGAAGTATTATTGTATTCAATATCATTATTTTTTTCTTTGATACTCTTGTCTTACTTCTCACTTGGTAGAGGCAATAAATCTATATTGATTAAAAAAATAAAAGATAATATATGATAAGTGATAAAAAATAAATCATATCAAATCATGTTTTCAAATTTTGTGTACACATTTTGAACTTGTTTCCTTATCAAATCCAAGAGTATGAGATCAAAATTCTATTGATGGTCGATGTTCAACACTTTATGAGAATTGTCAAGAATGCAAATATGTTTGCAATTTATGCAATTTCAATATCTTTATTCAAGAATCAACCCATTTTTTTAAATAATATGTGAAGTATTAAGATGTGTTTAAAAAGAAGAACGGTGATACAATTACTCAACATCAACCTTATGATTTTCACATCAAACTACTACAAGGTGTGCAATCTCCCCTTTGTCCAATCTGCAATCTCTCCACAAACAAGCTTGTTGCATTGCTATATTATTTGATAAAAATCTCGCAAAGAATTTTGTTTAATATTTCAAACCACCTGCTAGATTTTCTACCTTATTTGTCAAGAAGAAATACTACTCCTGTTGCATGTGTGGATTATTGTGGACTAAACAAGATCATAATGAAGAACCAATATTCATTGCCGCTTATTACAAAACTTCTTGATCAACTCAATCAAGCAAAGTTCTACATAAAGAATGATATCTGTGGAGCATACTCTCTCATAAATATTAAGCAGTATGAAGAATGGAAGACAACAATCTGAATCATATATAGAAAATTTGGATTCAATGTTTTGCGTTCACTTGTCATCATTCAACACTTGATGATTAACATAATATACCATTTTTTAGATAATTTTGTTATCTATTATTTTGACGTTATATTGGTTTTTACCAAGAATGAAGATCATATCAACCATACCCGATTGTTATTGAAAAAACTACGCACTATTATGCTATACGCTAAGTTGGAGAAGTGTGTTTTCCACTGATCTCAAGGCAGATTTTTGGATTACATTAATTTTAGAAAGTGCATATCCATGTATCTAAAGAAATTCAAACAATCATCTATTGGAAAAAATTGGCTCTCGTTCAATATGTACGATATTTCCTTGATGTTGCAAACTTCTATCAAATTTTTATCCATAATTATTCAAAATTTGCTGCTCCATTGACTTCATTAGCTCACAAAGACAAGTTCAAATGAAATGAAGAAGCAGATCAAACATTTGAAATTCTAAAGAATGTGTTCACAACAACGGCTATTTTTATGCATCATTATTTACAAGAGCCAATCTTTCTGAAATCAAATTATCCTAACTTTGTTCTTGGAGCGCTACTTTCACAACCCGACATAGACGTATGCATCTAATCTGTTGTGATTTACTCGCACAAATTTATTGCTACCAAGATTAATTATAAAATTCACAACAATGAGTTTTTGATCATTGTCAACTTAATCCAAAAATGGTGTCAGTTTTTTTGAAGAAGCTAAACATAAGATCACAATCTACATCAATTACAAAATCCTTGAGTTTTCATATTTAACAAGGTATTGAATTGAGTACAAGCCGTTGGAGTACATTGCTTTGACGCATCAACTTTAAGATCATGTAACATCATGATTTTCAATAAATTTGGCTAAAAGCTATTTCTTGACGAACATATGTTGCAACTCAGAAAGAAAATGCACCTTATGACCAACAAAACACTACCCTTATCAAGTCCAAGAAACTTCAAC